TAAAATTTAAGAAAAGCTAAAAAGCAGATATATATTACTGAACTTATTACATATTGTTGTTAGGAAGTGAAGGAACAACTTGAGATTTTATTGCTGGGTCTTTATAATTGCACTGCAAGCAGATAATCAGAACACCAGTATATTTCATTTCAGCATTGGAGAAGGAAAAAAGTTTCCTTGCTGTCCAAGAGTTGTTGCAGACTTGCTTTTGCTTGCAAATCTAGGAAATAAGTGGAAAGATTCATCATGAGCAGTTTTCAGTATGTTTAGCATTTGGTAGAAAAATCATATTTTACTCTTGAAATGGAACTCTACATATCTGTCATTAGCATCTGTTGAACAATGATCCATATTTTCACTTTCCTTGACAACTGAATAGCAGTGCTACGTGCAAAAAACATACAACTCAAATTCACTGAAACTAATGCAAATAACCTTCCCCTAGCTTCCAAATACAGTCTAGAAGCAGATGTACAGTGGAGGCAGTTGGGCTATTCTGTGTTGTATTTATGGAACACGTTCAGGAAAAATGTCAACATGCTCAAAAAAGTCCACATAAGGAGCCTGTGATTCACAGGTAAACTGATAAGACAGCCTTATATTTCAAATAAGGTAGCCTTATATTTCAAATTAAAAATCACAACCATTTGAGCTGAAGTTATTTTGGAAGTATTCATAACTAGTGTATTGCTCCTTTGGAGTAGTTTTCCCTCTGGATAGGAATAAATTATTCCTCATATTCTGTTCCATCTCAAGTTGTCTCACCAATCTTCATTCCCCAGTACTCCAAATCATGTATTTAGAATCAGAATTCCCTCCCCTCCCCCCCATTTTTTTTTTTTTTGCTGTTATCACCCACTGTGATCAATTGTTATCACAAACTCAACTTATAGCTCCAAAATGGTAAGGAAGGCTAGAAGAAAACATACTTTGCTAATTTATTCTGCTCTGTGACCTCAATAAGGATTTGACTTGATACTTTGCTAATTAGACCAAATAAATAATTAAACTTACATGGGAGTGGTTTTGCTAAATGTAGATTTGACTTTCTGAGACAGTGAGCTGCTTGAAGGAGTTTTTACCAATTGCTGTTCTGGAGTAGTGAGTGGTCCCAACATGCTCACTATGTGATAAGAACAATTACAGTTAATATTCTTAAGCCACAATATTTCAAATAGCTTCAGAATTGTGCATTATAAGTAACATGATGAATTTTTTTAATGAGAATGATTTACTTTCTCTCTCAAATAATACCACAATTAATCTGAATCTAATTCTCACTGCCAAGCTTTCATCCTTTGCTCAAAAAACTAAGCTCAAGTGCAAATAACTCAAGTCATACTATTGCCCTGCAATTTTTCTGCAAGCAAAATCCCCGAATACTGAAACATAAATTTATGCAGATTGAAGTAGCAGACACAGAGCAAGGGTAGATGTGCTCAATATGTCGAGGACTGCATACTACAGGAGCAGAGAATTAGATTGTATGTGAAAGAAAAGAATTAGAGATTTTTCCCCCCACTAAGAATGGCAACTCGTGTCAAATTTATTTCTGCAATTTATCTATCCCGTCAATTATCGCAGACCTTGGGCAGTTTACAGATATTAAAACAACCATAAAATAAAATTACATTTTAAAATGTCAGCAAAATTATAACATCAAATCAGAAAAAATACAAATCCACATACACATTCGATGTGCTTTTCTGTGAGCACGCATGCATTTGTACCTTGGCTCGCCAATCAGCCCCATAAGTCTTCCCAAAAAAACCCATGTTTTTACTGATTTCCATAACACATGAGGGACCGTTCTTGTGGCAAATGACAAGTTGTCCACAGGAGGGGAACTGCCATTAAGAATGTCCAATATTGAGCCCCCTCTTGCCACCTAAGTACTGATAGGTGGGAACTCTTAGTAAACTCTCTCTAGCTATCAGGATGGAATGGGCAGAGACTCTGTGGAAAGACAGTCCCTTAAATATCCAGGCCGCGAGCCAAACAAGGCTTTAAAGATAGCAATCAGCATCCAGAATTGCAGTTGGAAATACAACGACAGCCAATATAGCTCCCACAATATTGAAATGTGGCAGTACAGAGATTGATCTGTGAGCATGTGGACTGCTGCATTCTGGACCAGTTTAAGTTTCTGGATGGACTTTGTGTGTTGCCCAAGTAGAACTAATTACAATAATCTAATTGGGAGATGACAAAGGCATGAGAGATCTTCCTCGCAAAGTTGCAAATGGTGTACCTGTTGAAGGGTTTAGGGTCAAGTTCTTCCTAGTAATGTAGTAGGAATGGTGAGTCTGGAAGGAACTTTGTGTTGTGAATCTGCTCTTTCTGGGGAACAGATTCCCATCAAATGTTACAGAAGCTTTCGAATTAACACTCACTCCAACTTGCTTAAGTCTTTTTCCCCCATCCAGACTGTGGCTGTCTCTGGACACTTGGACAGGACTTCTACAACATCTCCCACTGGATCCAGGATAAAGGTATACTAATGACACAACTGGGTATCATCACACTCACATTTTGGTGTGAAAAAGCAACATTATTGTTCACATTACCAAGTTTCAGCTAGCACATGTGTTGGATCACATGCTTACTGGATCCGTGCCCCTCCTGGCTGGTACTGGCTGCCCGGGAGGGGACACGAGCCTGGCTCCAGGGAATTATAAACGCTTCTTTGGGGGAGGGCGTCTTCCCCACGGCCTTGAAAGAGGCGGTGGTGAGGCCCCTCCTTAAGAAGCCTTCCCTGGACCCAGATGTATTGGCTAACTATCGTCCGGTCTCC